AGGATTTACAAGGCACACAGGAGAGAGTATGATACTTTGATTTACTCGACAACTGTAACCCTGTCCGGACACAAAATATTTAATCAAGGAATGAGATCCATGTGGGCTTCATGGTGTTATGGCAACAAAATCGATTCTTTTTTTCTTTACTTTGGGTAAGCTATATATAATGGAAATAAGAACTTTATTTATTCATTTAATTTAACTTGCTAAAAGGGGTGTTGGGGGTCTATAGTTTTGAACCGGATTTTAAGCCGGCCTAAATCCCATTCAAATCCGGGAAAAAAAGGATGAAACACTCTGAAAAAACTTAGGAAGATAAAAATTTGAATTTACTTTTGATTATAAAAATTAGGGTTATTACCCTTTCACTTTTCTAAAGTTATCTAGACTTTTTGACACCTCCAAAAGTCCCCCTTGTTAGACATTTTCATCCATAATATACCTTTTATCAAGCCAAGATTAGTGACCACAATGGAAATGGTCCATATAAAGCATATTTTTTTAAGAATAAAATTAATTTGACCTACCATTCTATCCTATTAACTATGTTTTATATAACAAAAATACACTGTAATCACCATGTACAAGTGAGTTACTATAAAAAAACACCTACATCATGATAGCCAAAATAAAATCAAGAAAATAATAGATCTGATTTAAGTATTTCTGTGGAATTTCTCTATACAGCTTCTGAACCGAAAGCCAAGAAAGATGTATCCCACATCACCCTTCTAATTATTTCTTCGTTATTTGATCAAAAGTTAAAATACTCTTGGGCCAGGTTAGCTCAAACTCAACCGAAAAAGACTGGTTGAAGTTTGGGTTACGGTTAGGGTTGAGAAAAATATGAATCCAATTTTAACTTCGAATTGGGTTAAGGTTGAGTCCTTGGCCAACCTGACCTAATCTGAATCCGACTTAACTTCATATATATCAACAATTTTAAGTTTCAAGACAAAAATTTTTTGAAGCATGATTACCCTTCTCATCATTATTCCATGTTCACTGATGCACTAAGGATTCAAATACCCTTGATTTCTCATGTTCACTGATTCACTAAGGATTCAATATGAATGAATGGATGGGCCTATTCTCGGATTTTGGTTCAAAGGATAGAGTTGAATAGAGGGATCATTGTAATCTTATAAACTCCATTCATTTTCTAAGGGATGTGACAAGGGGTCTCTAGAGGTATCAAAAAGTGGAGGCAAGTATAAGAGAAAAGTAGAAAAGTGAAAGGGAATTGCAGATAATAACCCTGAAAGTAATGAAACGGTTTTCGAATGAGTGGAATGTTAGCCATATGGGCCACATCCACAAGCCTTAGGGCCTGTAAAGCATAAAACAACAAAAACAATCATGGACTTTTTGGTTATTAACCATCCTTTAGACCCATTTTCTGACCAGGATTTCCTTCATTTGCTTTTTTTTTTCTTTTCCTTTAACCATGTGTATTGTGAAGCTTTAGAGAATATGATGAAGACCAAAGAAAAGTCTTCAACCAACTTAGGAGTTAGGAACATGGTGGTCCTGGATTTTTCCCTTTTTCTTCAAGATTAAACTAGGTCATTTTCTGGTTCTGTCAATAATCTTTGGATTTTTGAAGTTTGTATCACTTTTCTAATATATTCCCATGGCTAGATTAACCATAAAAGATAAATGAGATAAGTTGGAGAGAAATTTTATGTGATTTCGTATATATATATATTTCAACTAAAAAATTCACATCGAAAAGGAAATACATATTCAACATATTGCGAAAATAAAATTGAAGATTGTAAAATTAAATAATTACATGGTAATTTGTGAACATTTAAGTTTGTCCGAGTTTAGTATCTAAAAATGAAGTGTGGTGACTTTCTTTTATATATTTATTGTTTAGGAAACAAAAACGTCAAAGAATAAGAGCTTCCACATAAACCAATTCAACCTTTCTAGTTTACCAAAAATATCAACTTTTCTCTTGTTTTTATACTAATCTCTTTGATCCATAATCAATCTTCATTCTCATTAAATAAACTCAACACAAAAAGATAAGAATGATTCACTCGCAACATTCTCCCCACTACATATATTTTATTAGTAAATCACAAACTGTTTGGAATATTTGGGAGATCCACAATCCTGCAGAATATTTGGTAGTAGAATGAAGGTAGGCGATGATTGTGCAGATCTCGCCTGCCCATCCAAGGTTCAAAGTATCGATACATGTGATACACAAAAATTGCATATCACGTGATTCAAAGGGGTTGTATATATAGATAGAAATTGTTTTTGGTTTCAATTTTTCAACTAAGGATGACAATTTCTGCCCTACCTAGTGGGTACCTGCCCCTATCTGCCTCAATGGGGTGGGTTTCTTTTGCTTGAAGAATGGATATTAGGGTGGGACAGGTTTTGGGATTCTACAAACTTGTAAGGGTATGGGTAGGATACGATATTAGGTTAATCTCAACCCTCCCCAACCTGCATATTGTTGGAAAGTAAATGAACTTATGTATTAAAGTGTTGAATTTAATAATATTTTAGAATTTTATGTGAAAGATAAATTGATAGTTTGTATTTCTTATGTCTTAATCAAATAATTGAAAATTTTGTTATTTATTCATATTATTTTACTTATTAATTGCTTATATAACAAGAATAATAGGAAATTAAATGTGGATTCTAAACACAACTCGCCCTACCCTTGAATGGGGGAGGGTTTTGGATTTTCAAAATCCAACCTGCTATAAATTTTGAGGCAAGTATAAATTGGGAGAATTAGGGAGGTGGATAGGGTCTAAAATTTACAATACTCCCCCTGAACCTGCCCTCTTGTCATTGCATCTATTTTCAACAAGGCCATCTCTGTGAAGGGTATTAACTGTTGAATATAACCACCTGTATCATCATATATCGGTGATTATGAAAATCAATACATGATCAATACGGACCGATATATTACAATATTTTGAACCTTGCCTTCAAGATGAAAGTTTTCACAAATTTCATATTCACGATAAAAAACGATTTCTTTTGAAACTTTGGTTAAATTTTTAATGAAAATTTATCGTTTTATTAATATTTTTTTATATTTTTATTACTTAGTTTCATTATTATTAATATAAAACTCTGAAATTGCAAACAAGATAAGTGATGAAATCCTTAAATTTTAGCCCATATTCCAAAGCTTTTCTTACCATATTCCAAACAGAAATTCATGAAATTAATTTAAAATCAGGGTTCTGTTATCTAGAACACGAACTTTCAAGCATAATTTTGACCCATTCTTTCTCTTTGGACTAAGGCTGAGTTAGTCCAACTGTCAGAAAAATAAACAAAAAATAAAAGGAGGATCAAATTACAACTTTACCTCACAACTTTGACATGGGTTTTCCCAAAACAAAGAGACAAAATAATAAAGTAACAGTAGATGATGGACACCAGGTAGCCCACCCACCAAACATGAAAGTTGTTTTGACCATGTTCACAGAAGCTAATAAGATGGCCTGAGGGTCTGTTTGGATGCACCAATAGAAAGAAATTAAGGTTCCATTTGAAAAGAGTATAAATACAAATATGTAGAGTGTAAAACCTTATATTGTGTATTATTTTGTAAAGCGCAAAACCTTATATTATATATTATTTTGTATAGATTTATACTATATACATTTGTATTTGTACTCCTTCTAAACTAAGCCCAAGGTACTTGATAATCTTCTACAGAGTTGGTGTCTTCAATTTAGACAAAAGATCCCTACACCCATTCACTAATCATATGTACCTGACAAACAAATTTCTTTAGACTTGAGTATTTTCTACATGTCACCATCTTCACCCTTTTTTGTTATTCAGGCAATCATCTTGGGCCTACTTTGTCACCTCTTTATTTACAAGAAAAAAAAAATGAAAACTAAAATGTTTAAGGAAATTAAACAGGCTTACCACAACTAAGCAAACATGTTTGATGTTTTGATCCATAAGGCCCTTGACTAGAAATCAGAATGATAAAGAGGCCTGTTTGATTTGTGTGGCTTAACACCCATTTGGGAGTGCTTATTTTTAAGTATTTATTGGAAAAGGAATTTATTTGAGTCTGGGACCACATCAATAGGCACTTATATGCATTTGGAAAATAAGCTGAATAAATGCTTTTTTTTAGAGAAATAAGCTCATAATTTTGGCTTTCTTTAAGTGTTTTTTGAAAAAAAAAACATTTATTGCATCTCTGGCCCATCTTAGCCCATTTTAAATAAGCACTTTTCACCAAACATCATTAGCAGTTATTAGGATAACACTTGTTAATAAGCATTTATCTAATAAGCACTTCCAAACGATGCCTTAAATGTTTCAGTTAGCCGATTCAGGACATTGAGCTGGCTGGGCTGGCATTTGACAACCTGGTCAGAATAGCCCATGTTTGGGCAGGTTGTGTTGAGAATGGAAGACCCAGCAGAAGAAATCCTGTCAAACTACCTCTGCCTGGATTAGCTTGTGATTAGTGTGGATTAACTTTCATACACATAACCCAGGATTGGATCATGGGTCTGAAAAAATCTGTTAAGGGCTGGGTTGGGCTTTGGCTTTCTGGCCCTGGCTCGTGTTTCTATAACTACTTTTTAATTGGGTCAGGCCCAATCTCTTGTTTCAAGGGGTATCGGAAATCGGGATACAAAAGCAGGGGTGTTTTTGTAATAATTGGAAAGTAGGGTGGTAATAATTAACAAGTGCAACACCAAAAATTCAAAAGCAGGTTAACCAACCGCCCACCTTTCGTGAATCGTGACCATTGGCTAAGCAAAGCAAATGAGGAATGTCCGACTCTGACTCCCTAATCTGCATTTCTCATCAGAGTTCAGCAGCTTTTGACCGAATATCAACCGTCCATCACCTAGCCCGATATCCAATCTTTTTAATTTCCACCTTTTTCTAATTAATTTTTCTTTCTAAATTTCTGGGGGGTTTTGCTTGTCTGAGTAGTTGCAGACTTCCAGCTCACCCCTTTGATCGGATTTATTTCCTGCCACCCTTTTACTTTTAGACATTGAATTTTATCTGGCGCCACTTGGATTGCATCAAACGCAGTAACAATCCCAAAATTTTCCAATTTTCTAATAATTTTTTATTGGGTGTGGAAGGATTGAAGGAATGTTATTGTCTCTGAAAGAACAGGAGAAAAACAAAGACAGAAACAGAGGAAGAGAGAGCTTAAAAGATTGAAATTGTTGATGGAGTAGTTCTTGTTGTCAGTTACCTGTTGTTCTGCAGTGGGTTTGCTTTAATGGGCAATGTTACTTCTGGTGTTGCTGCAAGACTCGCATTTTTTCCTCCAGACCCACCAACCTATGATGTTGTGCAGAGAGAGGATGGGAAGTATATTTTCAATGGAGTCACGAATGATAAGAGCATGGACGTGCATTTGCTAGAAACAAAAGGAGGGAACAAGATTGTTGCAACCTTTTGGAGACACCCAGATGCGAGGCTAACAGTTTTGTATTCTCATGGCAACGCTGCTGATTTGGGTCAGATGAAGGAGCTATTTATTGAGCTTAGAGCACATCTGCATGTCAACATTATGAGGTATTTCGGCTTCTCCTTTATATTTTTATATACATTTTGTTCTATGTTTTTGTGTAAGTTTAATGTTCTGGAATCTGAGATTTCATGGGTTTGTTCATCTTCGATCATGGCTTGGTGGTTGCTAATTCTTCGTGGGAGGGGTCGACTTTTGTGATGTTTATCAAATTTAATGGTGTACTTGGTTAAATGAAACACACATTCTAGTTGTTTTATTTTTTAAGTTATTCGTAGTGGATTTTTCATTAATCGTTACTGTCTATGCTTTTGCGTTTCTGGACTTGTTTGATGAATATCATATTGTCCATGAGGTTTGCGAGTAGAATGGGGATTAATGTCCAGATAGCTTTTTCCTCCTTTTCATTTCCTGATTGAGATTGCTATAATGTTTGGATTAGTTTTTGTGTAGGCAACAGGGGCCTGATATCCATCTGAATAATTTCTTGCATTTTTGGAATTTGGTTATGGAGTGATGCCAAATTCATATTTCTATAATTTCATCTAACCACATTTGTACCTTGGTTGGTCTGTGTGCTAGATACTCGTATCAATTTCTTTGTTTATGTTCTGATGCGTTTAACACCAACGTGACAATTTTTTGCCTTTTCTTTTTAATTTATGTTTGATGCGTAGTCATCGGAGCTTACATGTATAATGTTTAGTTGTGGTGACCACTGGCTGATAGTATTAGGAACTGTAGGGAGGGGTTCTTAGGGATGATTTTGGGTGTTGATCAAGTGATCAGTCTGGTTGTAGTTTAAAGCATCCCAAGATCTTTCTTCTGATGGCTTCAAAAGAATCCGAGGAACATCTTATTTTAAATTGAGGGTGAATTTGACAAGCATAATTCTTTGTAGGTGGTGCAATGCATTTATTTACTTTGCAATATGAATATATTTTTTTTTTCTATTGATGGTTTTTCTTGTGTCCTATTCCAGCTATGATTATTCAGGTTATGGAGCCTCCACTGGTAAGGTAAGCGCAACTTACATGTGTTTGTTTTTGGTGTTCCTTTGGGTTGGAACTTTTAATATAAGCACTGAACCCACTTCTGGATCTTCTTTCTTTTTTCTTCCTGGACCCCATCTAGTTATCCTTCTAATTTTTAACAGTTGGTAATGGTTTCCCTGATAATGATGATAGCCGTCCGAGTTCAATACGTACTATGACATAGAGGCAGTGTACAATTGTTTGAAGAGAGAGTATGAAATTAAGCAGGAGGATGTAATTCTATATGGGCAATCTGTTGGGAGCGGACCCACTCTACACTTGGCTGCACGTTTACCAAGGCTGAGAGGTGTTGTTCTTCATAGTGCTATCCTATCAGGCATACGGGTGTTGTACCCTGTCAAGATGACATTCTGGTTTGACATCTTTAAAGTAAGATTCAACCAGGGCTGTGCTCCTCTTTGACTGAAATTCATTCTTTAAATGTTTAGTCACATGCTGATTAAGTTCCGTTCATTGTTTTTAGAATATTGACAAAATACGGAACGTCAACTGCCCAGTTCTTGTTATACATGTAAGTTTTCAATTTATTTGCTTGATTGTGTTCTCTAGCATATAGACAGTCTATACATGTCCAATTGTCCAGTTGATTTTTTTGTTATGCCAAGCTTTTCTATGGTGGTATAATCCATTAATCTGAATAAACTCCATTTATGGAAAATATTCTCTAGTGGATGATTCACTATTCGGTATGCTTGGCAATGCATTCTTGTATGTTATCAAATCTATTCTTAATTTTGTGGTTTTAAGTTGCGTTTGTTTTTATTAGTATAATTAGCATTTATCAGGCGCATCAGTAATTAGGTCTTTATTGATATTGAGTCATACAATTGTATCTTTCTGTTTCTTAAATATTCAATCAGGTAATTCCTAGAGACTTGTCTTTGCTCTTCTAAACTTGGCCTGCAAGGGTTTTCTTCTATAGTGAATGCATCCTTTGGAACTCCATTCCCTTTTCTATCTGTTGGTGCATTTGGAGGCAGCATAATAGATTGAATCTCCAAACTCTTAGAATCATTGGAAAGGTGGAGCACCTTTTTGTATTTTTCAGCATTTATCTCAGCAGGTTTCAAATTGTTGAAATTCTCTAATTTTGTAATGACTGGCAGAAAATGATAAATATATAGCTTGTACATAATTACATATTGTATCATTTGTAGACGGGCTATACCCTTTATTTCATACTTTCAATGAAAATATCTCCTTCCCTAAGAGAGGGATATTAGACCTATAAGGTTTTCCTTTTTGCTTTGGATGCTTCAGGGAGTTGGAATTGTATCTTAGATCTTATCCTGCTGACATGCTGGACATCTTGTGGAGTTGGCATTTTTCTTCTATTTTGTAAGCAGGGGAAGATTAAGTAGAGATATTTAAAGGTGATTATTCTGTGGGGCATTTGTTAGGAGAGAAGTTTGAGTGATATTTTAGAATTTAGTAATCCTCTAGTATTTTAAAAATCATTTAAGGCTGACAACTCATTCAGTTGAGTGTCATCAAACTCGATTCTGATAATGATGGCATGGTTTTATTCTCTAGGGTTGCTGGGTGTTAGGAATAGTGATGGCATGATTTTCTTGTCCTTTTCCAATCTTATGGTGGCTGAGATAAATTCAGATTAGCTGAACACATTAGCTGCGTAGTGGGCTGTGGAACCAATGATAACGCCCCATGCCAGTGAAAAATTACATGGGCCCACAGTAAAAGGTTGGATGGTTGTGGATCCATGTATGAGTGGTGTGGAGCGTTATTATTAGTTCCACAGCCTTCTGGACAACTATTGCATTCAGCTAAACCTATATCTTAATTTCAGATATATTACAAAGGGAAACTGGAAAGATTACTTTGTTCCTTGGATTTCGATATCATAATGGAAGAGACTATCAAGTTATTATAAGATGAATGATTTGCACTTTTTCTGGGTCTTAAATACTGAGAAGCATCATGAAGGAGGCTATCTCGTTCAATGTATCATTGGTGTTAGTTCTTAATGTATCATTATGGTCTGCCAAGTTTGGTGGCTGACTGTCATGCTGAAGGCAGGTTTCAAGAAGGTATTTCAGAAAGCCTTCCTTTTCTGAATAGCTTCTATGGTTCTTGTATTTTATCTCTCTGTGCTGATGGCCTATCTATGTCATTTTTGTGTAGGGGCTGTTGCATGTTATATCCTTTCATTCTCTCCTATTCCTCTCATTCAATAAACTATTTCTCTCGTTCAATGAAGGGTGTTAAGTTTTAATTAAGGTACTTCAGACTTTTTGCAAGTTAAATTTTTAGGTGTCAACACAACTCAACTGAAATAAGCCTTGGGTCAACTTATTTGGTGTCAAAACATTTTCTTTTAATTTAATTAAAAACATTTTTTTAATTTGACAGTGGTCATTCAAACCTAGGAGTAGCTCCCATAGGTGATAAAATGAGAGAAAATAGACTAAGATGGTTTAGTCACATGCATAGAAGACCACCTACAACACTTGTAAGAAGTGATCTGTTACAACTTACAAGTTAAATGGGCTAGAAGGGCTAGGGGCAGACTAAAAAGAACATGGGTCGAAGTAGTAAGAAATGATTTAAGTGTTCATAATTTAACAATGGATATGGCATTAAACAGAATGGAATGGCAAAACAGGATTCATCAACCAACCCCATATATCTGGGATAAGGCTAGGTTAAGATGATGAAGTATGCTTGCTACAAAAAAAGATATGAAAATTGAAGAATGAAATAGGTTTGGAAGAAAGGCCAGGCAAAGACAGTAAAAGGGGTTAATTAAGAGAAGTCCTAAAGGGGTTAATTAAGAAAGGCCAAGCAATCCACGGTTAGTGATTAAAAAAATCTATATCCCAATTTCTGTAGGAATTGTGTTGAAAATAACAGAGATGCAAGTAACTTGGTAGAATAGGTATTTTCCTTGTGATGGAAAAAAAATAGTAGGAAAAGGAGGGATTCTAATAGGAGAACTTCGTCTACAAAAACTTTTTTCTCCTTGAATTTTGATCAATGCAGCCAAAGATATTATTGAATGAGGAAATGAGAGGTGACCTCTACTGCTGTGGGGATCTTATAGATTGTAGCAAGGAACAATACATGCAGAAATGAAAACTAGAAATAAACTGAACATAAACAGGAATAAAAGCTATTACATTTGAACTGCTGTTCAACCCCAGAAACTGGGGACCCTGAACAATATTTAATCCCACCATCCCTCCTCTGCCCAACATGTCTGCCAAGATAATGGTCCATCTAGGAACCCACTTGAACAAGTTTCAAAGTGTAGGCAATTTCTTTCGTCTTTCCTGTGCCAAATCTCAGTGCCCAAGGAGCTTCTCCTGCTGAAACCTTCCACTCAGTAATCACTTGGTAGTCTCCTTGAATTATTGATCTCTTCCATCCTGATGAATAGGCTTTAGCTCAAAAAGGATCAAAATTTATGATGTGCTCCAAAGAAAGTTTTTCACTTTGTTGGGGTGAACAATAATGAAAGAAATTTATTAAAAGAAGATTGTGGAAAAGGAACAGTATATAAGCACTGACAAACTGTTGATATTATTACTCCATTTTTGTGTATTTGGTGACTGATGGGGTATGGTAACCTCACTGGTCCATCTACCATCTTGCAATTTTTTGACTATTTCATACCATCATCTTTTGGCCCTGTTTGGTGGTCTCTTCTTGGTGACATGTTAGAGACCACCTGTGGAGTTGGTACTTGGTAGCATGGTTTGTAATTTTGAAATCGATCAACATTTCGCCATGTAGAGTTTGAGAAATTTCAGAGATATTTTACTAATTTCGCTAAGATATTTGGAAAATCTAAAAAAATTAGGAAAGTTTTCTATAAACATAGAGTTAGTTAATAAACCTTCAAGAGTTCATTAGAAGAAATATAAGTGCACATTTAAGTTTATTGTTACTATATGTTTCTCTTTGTTTCCCTTTGGTCCATAGTCATCTTCTCTTCTTTATATATGTTCATTACTTTGCTATTTTAAGTTTATCTTTATTGTTACTATATGTTTTGACTAGATTGCGAATACTCTCTTGTAGTTATATGCATTTTTCTTTTTCTTTTGAATTATAGTGACTTAGTAAGTGAATCATATCAAAGTAGTGAGCCAATTTTCCAGTCACCAATTCCCCACTTGTTCTTTTAGGAAAATATTTTTAAAAATTATGATGACATCTGAAATATTGCCGACATATCAGGCATTTGGTAAAAAATGATTCCTGAAATATTTTATATTGCCACCTAGCAAATGGGGATATTTCACGAAATACCATCAATATTGTGAACCATGGTTGGTAGTACTTCCAAAAGGAAGATCTTTTGAGATGTGATTCTTCGTTCATCATATGGACCATTAGGAAGGATAAGTACTCTTTGATCTTCAGGCTGTAATTTGCTCTATTTGGGAAATTATTGATTTATTTATTATTAGAGTGGCTCATGAACTTATTACTCTTATGTGTTTGATAGTATCTCAAGCGACTTGATTGTTAGGAACTGGTACAAATCATCCACTGTCTTGTCCTTTTAATTAGAAATTACCCAGTTGTCTTTCCCCTACAGAATACCAAATAGAAATAACATTTATCTTTGATGAGTGGTTTGAGGAGAAACATGAAGGCATCAATCATTGATCAGCATGTAGCATGGCATAGCTCACTACTTTTTCTGTGAATCTATTGGTGAAGGAAACCCATTGAGAGAGAAGATTCTTGCATTACTATGAAGGCTACAATTATCAGATTCACTTGGGTTTGAGTAGTGTATTGTGGGGGAACATTTGCATATTATGACTGAGTGACATAAGGGTTATTTTAGCAGCCCCAGGAATTTCTTTCAGGTTATTAGGGTGAGTCATTCTTTGTCTGGGGGTCTCTTTGTTTCACCATAGTATTCAGTTAATTTACTGTTTCTTTGCGTCAAGTTCTCTCTAAAATCTTGAGCATTTTGCATATTTTCTCTCTTCTTCTCCTTAATTTTTTGATTTCCATTCAAAAAGTTAAGAAGGGAAGAGCTTAATGAGAAAATAATCAATAAAAAGGCCTACAAAGGAAGATGCCACATGGTACATCAACCTAGCTTTAGAAATGGTATTGTCGTAAATGTAATACCAAGAAGAAAAAGTAAAAAATTACAACTTTTGGTATAAGATTGTAAATGGCAATTCTACCATTTCAAAAACATTTGGATGGAACCTCTGGATAAATAGTTGGTTATGCAAAAGCTTATAAAAGTAGTTCTTAGAACAAATATCACATATTCAATATTCGAATATTTACATTCATTTATTTGAAAAAAAATGGACCTTGAAATGTTAACCAATAATTATTTCATTTTTCTGTCAACAAGGAACCAAATAAACTCTAAAATCACTCTGAAAGTAGAAAAGAAAAATAAAAGATAACTGGAGATTTTCTAGACAAAAACAAAAGGAAAGATGAAACTGGGCTACTCTGGGAATTTCTAAATACTACTAATAATTCAAATCAATAAACAAGCACAAAGAATCTCCTTAAAATCCAAAATCACTTCTATTTATTTATTTATACTTCACCTGTTTCAAAAAAATATTTTTTGATGTTAGTTCTCTCTTATGTTGTGTCAAACCAAACATAGCAATACATGAATTGAGTTATTAAAATTTATTAAAACTCCTATTTTAAATCCTATGGAGAAAGCAGTCCAAATCAGTAGTCCGCACCCCACGATGCAAGCATGTTCTGGAAGCGTTCTGAGCACCTAAACACTGAGTATTTAGGTTTGGATGATGATTTGAATTCAGAACTTCAATTGAAATTATTTCCACCCATGTATTCATGATAGTCAGGGTTTGTTGAAGTTTAGATTAGATTTTGAATTGGATTCAACTTTCATAAGTTGGGAAGTTGGAAGGTTATTCATATGAAGATAAATCCAATAGAAGGATAAGAGGCTTCAGAGATGGTAGAGGAAGGAAACTTCCAATTAGATCACCTTTTATAACTTTTATTAAACTCTTCAGTAACCTCCTAGCAACATTACCTTTTAACATGGGATGTGCATACCAGGTTCCATCAGAGTTAGCTTTTACTTGTTTGTATCCCAACATTGGGAAAATCTTGACCATTGATCATTTGATTAGCTGGAATATGTTTATGGGTGCATTTATGTTGTCTTACAGGAAACACACAGTTTTTTACAGGCAAGGATCATATACCCAAGATACACTTAGTTCCATGACTAAGGTGCTAATGGTGCAAATTGCAAAGTACAACTATTTTCTCTCAATCTATGATGCACCTGCCTTATAAAAGTAAGAGGCACATAGAAAGTTCAATAAATATCCAAGATATTAAAATTCAAAAACATATATTCAACATAATAGTAGAAGAATGACCAATAATGTTAGTCTAACAGGTAAATTTCTACTTAATTATTCTTTTGTATGAAAATTGTTTATGTTCCATAGTTAAGTACTATAAAATTTGGAAAATCCATGAAAAAAACATGATTTTGCTTGAATTTAATACATCTAAATAGATGGATGGTGTAATGTGGCACACTCATCATCCATGAGAAGAGCCACCATTGTGGAGTTGATAGCACTTGTGCTCCTTTTTGTAATGGGTAGTCAGTAGTGGCACCTTTTTTGTATGCATCTTATATGCCTGCTCATATATATGATCAAAACGAAATATCATGGTTTTATAATATTTACTTAATGTTTCTAAAAAATTAAAACATTCAAATTTTGGAAGCATGTGAACTCCTAGAGCCTTCAAACTTTGGGCAGCTGATCCAATTGCAACTCTTTTTGGGGATCTTTTAGCTTGAAAAGAATGGCAGGTTTTTCAAACAGTAAACAAAATCAGATGCAGAATGATTAATTTAGTAGTAGAGGAATAGAGCTGGATGTCCCTCTCTAATGTATTTAAAAATGATGTTTTTTCTGATTCTTTTTTGAGGGTAGATTATTTTTAGGGGAGCTTAAATGTGATTACATCTGTACAGCATCTCATTGTTCAGGTTCATACTTTTGATAGTAATACAATATACTTTACCTTTTCTCAAAAAGGTGCCTTGAAACCTTGGCCCTCTATTGGAAAACATGGAATTTCAGGGTTTCCATTTTCTTGATTTTGATATTCTGATATCAAGTCTAGGTGGGAGTTTCTTCTAACCTAGAACCTAACATAAGGGCAATGTATGGTTTATTCTATTAAAGTTCTATTGTTGTTCAATGATCCTCCCAGACATTTTTCAATATGCTGAGCATTACGTTTGTAGCAGGTACATAAAACCTGTGCTGTCATATCTCTGCATATTCTTTCTGCCTGTAATGATGTGTTGCTTGCCAATGATAAAATTTTTCAGGGAACAAGTGATGACATTGTTGATTTCTCCCATGGAAAGCGCTTGTGGGAACTTTCCAAGGAAAAATACGATCCACTATGGATTAAAGGTGGAGGCCACTGCAACCTGGAAACATATCCCGAGTATATCAAACACTTGCGGAAGTTCATAAATGCCATGGAAAAGCTCTCTCTTATGAAAGAAACAAAACCAGCCCTTCTTCCAAATCCATCTATGACAGAAACAAAACATAACAAATGCTTGAGATTTTCCAAGAGATAACTGGTTCTTTTTAATCAATCCAAAAGCCAATGCAGGCGAGCAGCTGCCATATGTTGCATGGGGAACCGTCTTCAGGGGGATTAGTTGAGCTTGCTTTCTTCATGAACCCAGTATTTTACAGCCAAGCCTTTTACGCTGTGTCAAGGGAACTGGTAGAAATGATACATAGATGTTTGCTCCAGATAAGGTTCAAGCGCCATGTTTATGATCAATAGGCAAGTTCATGTTCTATGCTTACCATACAAGTTGAGAAATGTTATATCAAGATGCAAGATGTTATTCTCCTGAATCTGGGTTCAATGTATCATTAGTCACAGTCGATGCTTTGTAAAGTCTACCAATTCAAAAGTAAATATATGGATTACATTTGTCTTCTTTTGCTTAACTCTTATTTTCTTTCACCAAAAAATCAGAAAAAAAAAGACACGATCCTCTTGCTTTCTTCTTTATTTGTTTTCCCATGTGATCTTTTGGTGTGATTCCCACGGCATGTGCAACTTTCATGTGTTCTTGATGCATGTGAACTCTGAACAACCAAAGCTTAGCAGTTTTTCTTTCTTTGTGTCCTAATCTTCAAGCATAAAATGAATGCGTTTGATCTCATCTAGTTAGATTTCGGCTCCCTACCTAACGTCTACCCCTTGAATGTCTATCTCATTAATGCAGCACAGGTGTGAAACAGACATCCACCCAAATGGAAGAAGTTCAGACTCATGTGCAGAAGGAGAAGACAACACTCTGTTGTTATTATAAAGATTAATTCTGTTTATTATTTGACAAGTTGTTTTCTATTCTGGAAGGTACATAACGTACTGAATATTTTTTGCACAGAAAAAGAGTAAGTGCATCTTATAATTAACTGAGACTGCACATGGAGGATTCAAATCAAATAAAATACTGCATCAGGTGGTCTGTATTCTGTAAACCTGATATATCATATATGGCAGAGCTGTCAATGGGTAGAGTCTACCCAACAGAACCAAACCAAATGAACCGATTATATCAGTTCTGGTTCTGTGGTTTGTCTCTTGATTAATAGTTGGGTTGGGACAGGTTCTTGTTGTTTCGAACTGATTATATAGTTAATAATATATAGAGATTTCAAGGTTTTCTTGTAATTTTTACTATATTTTATGTCTAAAAGGATAAATTTCATGCACAGTATATAACATATTTTTTATTAAAACACTTGTGTCATCGACATATAAACAGTTTGCTATTTTACTCTCATTTTTATTAAGATCATATCACCAAAAACTGGAGATGTTAAGTTATTATCATAGGTAATTATAGATATCTAGTCTAATCAGGTCACACACAATTATCCCTATTAATAATTAATTCGGTTCTGAGTCTATCTTATAAAACTGATTAATAATCAGTTCAGGACTGGTCCATCCTGTTCCAAACTAAACCTGACCCATTGACAGATCTAATGGAAATATGACGCTGATTAAGATCTAAGTTTGGACCCACACAGCCAAGTTGTATAATTCTTAATCCCAATAGCTAGTAAAATAATTGAAGCCTAAACCCTATTCTTTATAGAATGAAAGAAAATGTTCATCTAGTTTGAATTCAGCGTTGCATATTGGCATCCAACAAGCTAAGGAATATCCGATACAAGCACACATCAAGATAGATTACAATAATATACAAGAAAGAAGATGTCCTTGTAAGCAGCCACCATTCCCTCAACTACTCTTCATCAGCTAGAAACTCTTGTCAATCTCGGACTGCAGTTGATGGGCCAATCAAGAACACCCAAGATGCATGAATTTGATTAATATCAGCAAATCCCATTTCTTGTTGTCTATTTGGGTTGCCAAAAATATATTACCCATTCGTTTGGTTTGTTCAAGGGAACTGGTTATATCATCATAAGTTCCCATCAAACAGTTAGATAATCCATGGAGTGTCCAGAGCTCAGCTTGATTATGAGGAAATTTAGGGTTTGAATAGAAAATTTAAGGTCTGATGGTGAAGGGGACTGGAGAATGGAACAGATATTGTTGTTGCAGGCTTCAACCTTTGTCTTCTAGAAGAATAGTCATTAAATGATGGCTGAAACGGCTGAACTGAATGACTTATTGCTCTATCATTTAGTGGATAAATTTGTTTATACAATAAAAATATCCAGGGGCACAGTAATCAAACCAAAGCAGTTAAGGAGATCAAAACATAATGACTTACAATAAAATATCCAGGGCCCCCTCTCTCTCTCTCTCTCTCTCTCTCTCTCTCTCACAGACAATTTTCTAAAGAAGAGCTTCATAATCCATACATGGGTAACTGTTACTCTGCTAGTTAGGTTTTGGATAGGTGCATATTAAATGGGAACTAGGTACATGAAACTATGTGGTGAAGCAAGATTTCAGGAAATTAAATAATATAAAGGAAGCTTATGGGAAACCACTTAATAGTGTTTTAATATCAAGATATATCCTTATGGAAGACAGTTTTAGGTAGATTACAAGATAAATATGCATTTTACTAAGTGATGTACACGTCTCTGCATCCACTACTTTAATTTATTTCATACCAAAGGGATGTCATGTGACTTTTAAAAAAGCAAGGAATCTTAGATCTCACAACCAAAAATGAATCTTCCAAGGTTTATTATGTTATATAAACAATAATTTTCTGTACACAAGAACAAATATCAAATCACCCATAAGCATTAGATAAACTATAAACAAGAAATGAGAGAGCTTTTCCCTACATCAATACTTGAACCCTTTTGAATCTCAATGTGCAGTCAACGAATGATGGCTTAAAAGATCAGGAGGTCATTGGGTTTCTCTTGTTTGCTTCTGTAGTTCTATCATGTGGAAATGGGTTGCTTCAAGACAATAGTGGAAAAGGATAACCTTGTATGTTTGGTGGAATGTTTCAATAATATGTGCATCTCTATGCTAGTGTCTATGCAAACCAAGATGTCAACACAAAGGAAAGTGGTTGTATTTTGATATTTTCTTCCATTGCCCACTTGATCTTGAATCATACATCGATTTGACATGATAATGTGTCGTCGTCGATCTGTGTCGACATGCCCCTGTTTGTTTCTCGGTGGGATCGATCTTGCCCGTTTGCTTAATTTGAACCTTTACATCCTCCTTTCAAGTAGAAGAGGGATTGAACTTGTCTCTCAGAGGAGTGAAGATGGGATCTTGTTAAGTATGTTATTACAAGCACATGTAATATATGATTGTAAGTACATGCCCCCTAAGTTCTATCTTAGAGCTTATCCAAAAGAAACCAGAGGGAAGGGAGTGAAAGAGGGCCAAACTCGTTGATAGAGAAGAAACATCAAATCATCTAATGATAATGATAAAGCATCTCTTATCTGATGTTCTATTCTTTCCAAATTCCAACCCATAAGGCAAATAGTTCTCTCCACTAAGGGAGTGGGCATTCAAATCTCATGTGATTTGCTGGCTTTCCCTGTATTAATTAGGTCTCCTTAGCCTGTCTCCACCAACTCTCCCAAAAGGTGGCTCTGCTTCCATGGCTTGTGGATCATGTCCCCTTTCTGCTTTTCTTTCTCCCTATTTCCTTTGTTCATTTCTCTCTCTCTTTGCTTTGGTTTTCTTTTTCTTTTTTCTACTGCTTATTGTATTGTTTGATTGGAATTCTGATAGAGGTGAACCAGCCTTCTCTGCTAATTCTAATTCGAATTTAAACAAAAAATGGTTTTTTTTTTAAATCTTCAATAGAAGTTTGTTACACTTCCACTTCAATGAAAAGGAGTAGGGCCTTGGGTGGTCCCTTTGGGGTCTTTTAGAAGCAATGATAGCTTTAGAAATCATAAACAACTCTTCTTAGGAACCCATTAGAAGGAAGCCTATGTTCTATGTTCTACTTCTACAAGACATTGAAACTGAAAGTGAAATTCAAGGGGAGGCCATATCCTAACATGTTTTCTTTTTAGCCACAGATGTCCAAAAAGCTGGTTCTCAGTTTAGGTATTTCTTTGAAGAGATTGATGACACTATGTTAAACAATGAAACCCTACTTTTCTCAATCAGTTTCTTTGATTGGTACTGCTTAGACTAGCATCATAAATTTGGTATCCTAACAGCAATCAGTTTTCCATGTTTGTTTTTGGAGACAAATAGTACGTCCTCCACTGAAATTAGGGTTTCTGCACCATCAACTGGGAATCACAGGGTGTCTCTGTAGTCTGTACTATTCTGCCTAATGTAATTGACCTTGACCCTCACTTAGTCACAGCCCATTAAAATGGAGGCAAATTCATTCTCTCTACAACTTGTTTTACCTGGAATGAAGAAGGAATTGAATAATTAGGGTTGTGTCAAATGCAAAAACAGGTGGCAAAACTGACCCAATGGGATGATCCTAGTCATTCAGCCCTGATCATTCATTCTTCCAAAGTTGGTTCATTGAATTATCACAATAATAGTAAATATAATATAATCTCTAAATATATAGAAAAATGATTCTAAATGCTTCCTACACATAGATTCATGGTTTTCAAAACTGGACTGGACTGGAAAACCGAGAACTGGTCCGATTCTGTTTTACCCCAGAACCATTATTTCGCCAAAAACTGTTGATTTGGTCAGTAAACCGCTGACCCGGGCAGTTAAACCGTTCAAACCATCAAACAGTTTAGCCATTTTTTTATTTTTTTTTGTTTAATTTTTTTAACTTTTTTGTCAGAACTGACCATCTGTTCGGTTTAAACGGTCAAACCGTTCAACCCGAGAACCAGACCCTTGACCAGTTAGTTGTCCGGTTTAATTTTAAAAACCTTGCATAGATTCACACCTATAGGAGATCAAGAAAATAACCCAATATCTATTTACCAGGATGAAAAAAAAACGAAAAAACGCATGTATAATTATGCAAATGAGTAGACCTAGATCATACTGATTTTATTGACTTTGACAAAATCAAACGGTTAAAATATATTCCATATAAATAATTTTTAACTTAGGACTGTAGGGCAGGTTCATAAATCATAAGTAGAACAAATGAAACATGGGTCCAAGCATCATTTCAAAACTCTCCTAGTAGAATATAAATCTACCCGGCCCATTTAAGGATTAGATTCTTGATATTTAGGCTGTGTTTGGTTAATAGCCGCTGCTATAGGCACTTACGCACATTCAGGTGAAAAGCCGAATAAATGCTTATTCCAGAAAATAAGCCCGTTTTGAAGAAGTTAAAATTTTTGGCTCATTTTTATGCTCCATTTGAAAGAAATGCTTTTTCACCCAACAGGCCAACACTCATAAGCACTTATGTATACAATAATCACTCCCACTAAAAGTCCTTTAGAAGTTAGAACTCTTCCAAAACTTTCTGCTTCTCCCATATTTTCTATCAAGTCAAACACAGCCTTAGTACGAGCAGACCGATAGGAACCAGAAAATATCGGTTCATGTCTTCTTCAAGAGTCAAGAGCCGATACGCACTTAAATTCGATAATAATAATTAATTGAAAAAAAAAAAAAAAGCTTCTAAAAGCAGAAAAGAAAACAAAAAACAAAAAAGGAAAAGACAAACCTAAAAAGGCAAAAACGAAAAAGAGAAGCTAGAAAGTTGAAGAACAACTATTATCTTTCTCAGCCGTTCATACTGCGCCATGAGCCGCGCGAAGCACGCGCACGCGTGTCTGCTTCAACCCCTCGACCCTCGTCCACAGAGCCTCCCCCCTGCGTGGTCCCCTCCTTTTCCGCAAATCCCGATACGGCACGCCCGCTTCCGATCCGCTACATACCGGAGCGGTTGATGCTGCGATGAGTATCTCCCATCACGTCCCTACACGTGTCCCCCACCCAGATTCTAATTCTCTTCGACCATCACGTCACTTTCAAAGCTGCATTTCTTTCTGGGCCTGGAATACCAGTGGGCCCCGCTTGGGCTTACCCACTACCCAGCCAATAACATTCCATCACGTGGTCCAATGAATCCTTCATGTACGTAATAAAAAGTACCTTCATATTTGCAATATTTACGAAACCTGCCACTGCATTATTAGTGGCAACAATAATTAATTAATTAATCCACTTTGTCATGGCCAGAAGCAATAAAAAGGCTTCTCGGAAAAGAAATTGAATGAATCATTAGCCTTTAAAGCCAACATAATTACAGGATTCCGTGTGGATCTGCCACCGCAATTGTGGTAAACATTCCATCCTCTGACCATTATACCCCTCTAGGATTTTTTGTTTGCTAATATTTTTTTAATTGATTAATTTAATTCTTTCTCATGTCGTAACTCGTAACACTTGCTTGCCCATTAAGCTATGGTGGCCCCGGACCCAACTGGGACTTTTGTCACATGCAAATGTACAGTAACCTTCAGATTGGAATCCGATCGGAGCCACATCTTTTTACAATTGGGATCCCAATCTGACGGCTGAAAATTGTTCAGACTCGATTAAAAATTTGTCTCTATCATTTCCTTTTGGCTCTTGGGGCGATGGGTTTTGGTTCCAAATCTCAAATCTGGATGTGGGCTACCACCAATCAGAAGGCCGAAAACAATGGAAGTGTGGGCCCAGCTCAATGATACGTGGAAGCTGGGCCCATTGTGGAGATGGACCAGTTGGGTTGTTTATATCCCAATTTAAGAAACTCTTGTGCCAGAAAAATTTTGAGAAACTCCAAAATCAAGCGATTCAAGCCTTGAAATAACATTGAAGTTGATGTCGTTTTCAGCAGGTCTGACACTTCCAAAGATGCCATTGGTCTCTGAGGAGGAGAAAAATTAATAAAAAAAAGGAAAATCAAGCTTTTGAAGGCTTATTATTACCAATTTTGTATTTATCTAACGAGATCAATAAGAATTCCCTCAAAAGTCTCTGTAAATTTGCTCTTTTTATGAACATTTTGAGAGTATTTTATGTCAAATTAGAAGAAAAAAGAGAAGACAGAGGAGAGAGAGAGAGTCTAGTTTTATTCTGTATTTTCTTTTTCCGTTTCTGTTATGTTTTCTGGGTAAAGACCTCTTGTTCACCTCTCTCTCTCTCTCTCTCTCTCTCTCTCTTCCTGGTCTTTCCGTCCGTATCGAGCTCTGTTGTGACTTGTGAGTTGTGTGAGACTGAGTTGTGACTTTAATCGTTTTTATCTGTTAAGAGTTAAGACATTCCTTTGCGTCAATCTTTTCTATCACTCCTTGACTACCCGTCTGATTAGACTCTCTGTTTTGAGTTTAGTCTCTCTTGTTGTCTCTGCTCTGGGTTTCTTTTAGTTTGGTTTTTGGGTTCGGTGGAATCGAGTGAGGAGAGCGGGTTTTGGGTTTCGTCAGCGTTGAATCCTGAAGATTGCAACTATTCCATCCTTGGTCTTGTTTCTCTGCTCTCCTTTGGTTCTGGAGAATAGTTGTTGCTAAAAAATGACAGTTGAGGAAAGGCTGGGGACTCTCGGGGACGATGAGCCGAGGGATCAGTTTCCGGTGGGCATGCGCGTTCTTGCCGTCGACGACGATCCCACTTGCCTGAGGTTGTTGGATACTCTGCTACGTCGATGCCAGTATAATGGTCCGACTCATAAAACTTCCATCCTGTTCATTTTGTTTGCGAATTTCAGGATTTGGGTTGTTTAGATTTTGATGACTTTAATCAGTTTATGTCTATTGATTGCGTTTTTCAGATTAAAAGTTAAATTTTGTAAACGAGTTCTTCTTATTTCATCGGTTCTTAGTTCAGGAGTTTTTATTACCAAAAAAAAGAAGTTCAGGAGTTTTCATTCTTATTTTTCTATGGATTTTTTTTTTTGAATACAGTGCTGTACTTCTGGGTTTCTATTTCTTTTCATTTTTGGGCTTCTCTTGCTATAATCTCTTTTTTATGCGTTTTTTTCTTTCTTCTGTATATTATAGAAGTTCCATAAATTGATTTTCAAGTTTTTCTCATTATCAAATGAGGATTTATTTTTAGGTTCTTAGTAGATTAATATCGGGTTTCTTTTTTGTTTTTGAATTCTGATTATCCTTCCTCTGTCAGCTCAGATCAGGTTTTGATTTCGTGTTACGTTGGATTTGATCTTCTTTGGTCATAGCGGTTGCTTGCTTCTCTGTACTTTTGCTAAAAGTGGGTCCTTTTCAATTTGCTTTTATGATTTTTGCAGTTACAACGACCAGTCAGGCAATCACGGCACTAAAGCTGCTGAGAGAGAACAAGAACAAATTCGACCTGGTTATCAGTGATGTCCATATGCCGGACATGGATGGTTTTAAGCTTCTCGAGCTTGTGGGTCTCGAGATGGACCTACCCGTCATCAGTAAGCCAGGAACCCTGTCTCAGGATTTTGATATGATATGGAATAATATTTTCTTTGTCCCTTTTTTTTTCTTGTCTGTGTACGTCTGGCTGTTTGCTGAAGGCGTTAAATTCATAATTAAAAAAATTTATACAGTTTACATAACACCCATGCAAAACAAAAATCTGTTTGTATTTCATGAACCATAACTGAAATATCAAATGTAGACGTTAGAAATGAATTTGAATTTTGTTGCAATGTGATTATCCTTTGATCCTCGGCCTCTTTGAAGGATAAGTCATAGGAAATAATTAAAATGTACTTTATTGTGTCAAATTATAAAAGAACTTGATCAATATGTAGTGTTTCTGTAAAAACTATAGGATTGGAAGGAGTAGTTATTTGTCAGGGTGTTGACATCGGGTTTTGATCTTTAAATGGTCTTAGTGTTGTCGGCAAATAGCAATACCAATGTCGTGATGAAAGGAATTACCCATGGTGCTTGTGACTATTTGTTGAAACCGGTTCGACTTGAGGAGCTCAAGAATATCTGGCAACATGTAGTCAGGAGAAAGAAGTTTGATTCTAAGGGCCAAAGTAATTACAACAATCAAGAGAAGTCTCATAATGGAGCTGGTGAAGGAGGACAAGGGCCCAATGCAACAGGAAACACCGATCGAAATGGAAAACTCAATAGGAAAAGGAAGGACCAGAATGAAGATGAGGATGAGGAAACTGAGGAGAATGGGCATGAGAATGAAGACCCATCTACCCAGAAGAAGCCCCGGGTTGTTTGGTCTGTGGAACTGCACCGCAAATTCGTTGCAGCTGTTAATCAATTGGGCATTGACAGTATGTCCTTTCCTGTCACCTGTAATGCTTTTTAGCTTATATATGGAATCACTCATTCCTTAATACCATCTTATTTCTTTTATTTTGTTGGGATTTTATTTTTCTGCTGCAGAGGCTGTACCAAAGAGGATTTTAGACCTGATGAATGTAGAAAGGCTTACTAGAGAAAATGTGGCAAGCCACCTTCAGGTACTCTATCCTTTCTTACATTTATATTATGGCTTTTGTTTTTCCCTTTTTCTACAGAACTTCATTAGCCACTTTGTGGTTGCAGAAGTATAGACTTTACCTGAAAAGGATCAGTTGTGTAGCAAGCCAGCAAGCTAATATGGTTGCTGCTTTAGCGGTCAAAGATCCATCCTATTTGCGGATGGGTTCACTGGATGGACTTGGAGACTTTCATGCCTTGACTGGATCAGCACAGCTTCCCAGTGCTTCCCTCATGCTCTTTCCATCAGGTGGGATGCTTAATAGATTGAACACCCCTGCTGGATTGGGCTTGCGTGGGCTTGCTTCTTCTGGAATGATTCAACTAGGTCGCTCTCAGAACATCAGCAACTCCATCAATGATCTTGGAAAGTTCCAGCAGGTTACCTTATCTGGAAACCAAAGTGCAAACTTACTCCATGGGATGCCAACATCTTTGGACCTTGATCAACTGCAGCAGAGCAAGGGCACCTCCCGCATTGGAGAGTTCGGTTCGGTCAGTGATCCAAAAATTTTTCCAGTTGGTAATGGCTTTTCAGACACTGGCGTGACCATTGGTAGCTCAAGCAGCTCTTTTCTCAGTGTCCAAACTAACCCTTTGGTGTTACAAGGACACCAGCAACAGACACAAAATAGAGGGTTGGCAAATCAATCCTCCATTCAAGTGGCTCCACTGAATGCAGACCCTTTTGATGTTGGTACTAGTGTTTCTTCTCACTTGGTTGATCCAGGTAGATGTAATGATAATTGGCAAAGTGCTGCCCCATTAACTGGATTTTCAGCAAGCCCTTTGCCATCAAGTAACCCTTTTAATCATGGTGACTTATCTGCTAGTAATTTGAGAGACAATATTTCTTCAACTAGCTCACATGTTGGGAACAACCCACTTGATATTTCTGCCACCAGTGTAGTACCTACACCATTGCAGGATTCAAGAAGAAATGTACAATGCCAATCTAGTGGCCCATCTGGTAACTGTGCCCAACATGACAACACAAAATTCTCAAATTTTGGAGGTTTCAATAATAGTATAAGCGAGAGTATGACATATGCCCCAAAGCAAAGATGGGAAGACCATAAACAGGATTACACCGACAGATCAAATCTTATGTTCAGTTCCTTAAACTCTTCATTGCCTAGCCATGGTGTTGTAAATCCCTTAAACCAAAGTTTGGGCCAAAATAGTGCAGTCTGCAGTACAGACATGGATGTCATTCTGGTTGGCCAATCAAATACTGCTGCTCCATTTCTCATGCAGAATAATGATGTTGGCAAGTCAGCTATGGATGCAACTATGAAGCTGAACTCACTGGAGCAATCTAGGTCCCAGGACGGGTTTGTTTCTAATAATTGCGGCTCTTTGGAAGATTTAATGAGTGCAATGATTAAACGGGTAAAATTCAATAGATTTCTTTGTAATTACCTTTTCTTATATTGCGTATTTGCATTTAGTTGTAAATGATCCTTGTAGATTACTCTGTACTGGGAAGTTTTGCAAATCTACTTGGTGTGACTTAATATATGCATGCTGACAATGTTCTTAGTAGGAAGTTTTTCTATTAGTTGTATAATACCATTCTATTATCTTATCTCATGATCCCACATAAAGACCAACTTTAGTCCCTTTTTCCTTTTTGATCAGTAACTGAAAAATATTATTGATAGTATGAAGAATATAAATGCTATATTACAGAATGGTATATTATATTTATGATATTTTATTTATAAAAAAATTGTATTTGATATTTGCTATTTTATGCTTGGTGAGCGTGCATGGCAAGAAGTGCTAGAACTGAGGTTTGAAAATTTACACAATACTTTTATTAATATAGTGTTATTTAAAATTTTTAAAACTGCTATATTGGTTGTTTAAACTCACTAGGTTCTTTAATTAGTTAAAGATAACTAGATAACTTGCATATGCAACCAGATAAATAGATGTAGATATAAACTGATACTTATATTATTTATCAAAAAAAAAAAGAATGAACTGATACTTGTATTCAATCAAATCCTGAATAAATAAAAGATTTTATTTGAACTTTTACACTTTTGTTACTCCCAGAGAAAAGAAATCGTACCCAAAACAGGGAAAACTAATGATGCTGTGTATAACTGCCTAGCCTTTTACGATATGTGCCATTGGTTGAGGGTTCAAATTCCACATTGTGCATACTGCACATCCCTCTCCCCTCCCCCTTCCAGCTGTTTGCATTGTATTTAAGTATTTTAATCTTCTAGGTTGTTGTATTTTATCTCATGATTTGAAGAACATCTAGAACTGCTGCTTCAGTTTGATTGGTAATAGCAGTTAAATAAGACCTTTGAAGGCATCTCTATTTCATCCACCTATCCTTGAGTATATTCACAATATTGTCATCAGTCTCTCCCTCATGAGGGTTGAATCGGGATAAAGGAAATGGTTGCTCTAATGCACCTCTTTGCCACGTTGCTTAAATAATTAATAAAAGGCCACTGTTTAAGAAATGCAATGGAGAGGCTCATTATCTTAATTTATTTAAAACCATTATTGCTATATATTTAAGTGAACAGTTATGTAAGGGACAAGGTATTGTACATTTCTTTTTAAGAAAGGGTGATCAAATATCAAGGATTCCCTGATTGATTCAGGTAGGGATCTTCCCTGCATGACTTGTCATAGTTCTACACATGGAGGGATAATGTGACCAAAGAGAAAGTAGGGGAAATCTTCCTTGTTTCTAACTATGTATTTAGTGAAATCTAACAAAAAATAAATAAATAAACGTTTGATTAGTGAGAATTACATTCATGTATTCTGTATATTTTGGAATTCTTAAATTGTTACTTAACATTTCTAGCCTTGTCTTTACCCCCTCTCTATGTTCATCAATCAAAATTGTCTTCTGTAAAGAAGATTCACCATAGACATCATCTTTTATATACCTAGTTAACTTGTTAATAATACACAAGAAAGATGTAAATTCAGTGCTGATTGCTTATTTAGGCCTATTGTAACAGTCATCTCTCTGCCAATTGTTCATATGCCAGGAAGTGCTCCCTTATACATTTCCTTAATGCTTTTATCACATCCAATGAAACTTTTGCCTTAAGACCCACCAAATCATCTTATTGAGAACTCTATTGTGAATGCTATACCATATTCCGTTTCTTTGCGAACAAAGTAATGTGAAAATCGTTTCTTCTTAAATTTCTTGATTAATTTCCTAATAAATAACCTCATGGTTGACTTCTCTGTCATAAACCCAAGTAGTACAGATGTGTATACGACTTTTATTTATTAATTTCAATAAATTTATATGCCTTGTACCTGAAAGTTTTCTTTAATTCGTATTTCTCTTCTGTGAATTTGAGGGGGATTTGTGATGACTTTTGTACATGCTGATTTCCTTGTTTCTACCAAGTATTTCATACTATGTTACTGTCAGTCTTAGAATAATTTAGAATCTTTAGCTAATTGACCTTAAAAAACTTTCGGTATAGATATCACAAAAGTGTGGTCTACTTTGAACACATATATCCATGTTAAATGCAATTCCAGTACTACAGGAAAACTTTCAATATCCCTTCTTGGTTGTCTAGTTGTATAAGCATTGTTTCGTTTTGATTTTCTGAGGAACCCATGTTCTACTTGATGTCAATTTTTCTATTTTGAACCTAGTACATATGTACCATAACTTTTCATTGATGATGATACTGATCTTATGCATGCAGGAAAGAGACGAGGTTACACTAATGGATGGAGACATTGGCTATGATGTTTATCCACTTGGAACATGTATGTGAAACTTTGGTAGCTACCACGGCATAAAGAGAAAAGGATTGCAACAAGTAAATGACTCCTTGAGGAGTTTGTATCATCATGTATTTCTTCTGCTTTTGTTTATTATTTATCTCTGTATGTCATCAAATTCTATTCCCAGGTTCCAATTGTTATTTACTTGTTCATTTCCTTTTCCTCATTTTTTTTTTTCAATATTCTTTATTCTCTTTCCTGATGGAATGAATGGAGCAAGAGATGGAGAGAGACCCTTAACCTTAGGGTTCTGGTGGTTTCCATTATTCTCCATTATTTAGAAACGTTGACAATTGATATCATGTTGCATCATTTGGCAACCAACATCTTTTACATTTAGGTTTTAGCATCAACGGATGGTTTATTGCTTGAAGTGGTGATGGTTTACTGCTGGTGTTTGGAATCAAGAGACAAGATAGAAACCAGCATTAATGCTAGAGTAAACTTCAAAGGTAATGCATGTTAGCAACAGAAGAACCGCAGACTGTGGTTGCTCCATTTATTATAGTTTGGTGAGAAAGAAGTGAGAGAAGGCTTGGAGGTGTTGGGGAAGCAAACCAATCCTCACATCAATGGCCCTGGTTTCGGTTGGGTTCTGCATGAAGTAAGCGACCTGCGCAAATGGAGGGACTAAAGGAGACGCATAGGCCGCTTCTCCATGCCCAAAATCAACCTTGTGGAACGGCATCCTCGTCCAATCAGAGACTATAGTTAGCTCCTTCAGTGGGGGAAGGGTAGCTTGTGGCCCTTCCAATGCCTCAAGATAAGTTTTCACATAATCATCAGTCACAGATCTCTTGGCTTCCTTTATCTTTTCAACAATGGCGGCATGACTTTCTTCCTCAAGTTCTCCTGCACTGCAACTTACAGAAGCTAGCACATAAGCATTCCCACTGAACCTCTGAGTCAATGGTGGCACCGTCCTGTTCCTTGTGTCCACGGCAAATTGCAGGCAAACCATCTTCTCCTTTGTCAGTCCCAAAGCTTTTGTCCTTGCCTGAGATAAGAAAAATGCTTCAAATGTAAGTAAATATAATGCATGAAATCACAGAAGATCGCATCTCATTTGGATAATTTGCCATGATTTGTTTACGTGTCTGGGTAAAGAGATAGTTATGGGCCCCAAGTAAGGCCCAACCGCACCTCCAATCATACAATGGGTTTGACTTTATTGGGGTTTCTGCATCAAAACAAAAGCTGGATGTTTCTCTGGGGACTGATTGCTGATTTGGGCGCATCTGGGTTTTTGATAAACTAGGCAAATCCCTAGTGAAAAGACAAAAAAAGCCACCTTTTGGCAAGAAGAAAAGTCAAAATATTGGGAGTGTTTATGTCAATTAAAGCAGTAGGGATGGTGTAAAACCCTTGATAAATAAAATGGCTTCTGCGGCTTGTGTCCAACTCCCTGACTTGTTTGGATGATTTCACATAAATCTAAATTGGAATCCACCGAACAGATGAATTCACGCAATTGGTCTTAGGTGGCAGGGGTACAGCACTTCATTAGTTACACCGAGTCGATTCAGTGATTTCCATTCAGTCAATTAAGTGCTCATATGGCATATCTTTTTGCACGGTCTTTCAGTTGTTTATGAGTCAGAAAGTGATTTTCAGTCTATTTCCGTTTGACTTGCAAAAGATTTGGCTGGAGCGCCGAAAAGCTTTTCGTATCTTTCACATTTTATTCTCACACAGAAAGACACAAAAAGACGTGCTTCAGATTACTCAGATCTTCATACAAAAGCTCATTACGTCTTTTGCATGTCAAAACTACTCGAAGATCTTTCCAAAAAGACACACCAAACGGGCCGTAAATGATTTGAATCAATGTCTACTTGCGAGTTGCGACTCGTATGTATCAACTCGGCATAAAAGGAAAAGAAATTACAAACAAGATAAAAAGATCTGTAACGACCAGTCTTGAGATCCTAAGAGTTGAACCATGCTACGAGAAATCAACTTGAATCTACGAACCAAACAAATATTATAACATTTCAGAAGTTCCTACCTGATTTGATCAATACCACTAGAGTGGATACACATCCAGAGGTAGTAATCATGCTGACGCACTCCATTCAGAGAAAAGTTCCGTCATTTGTTTACCTTTTTTTCATCTGAAGAGTTCATCCAAATTTTCCTCTACTTTTTAATATTGAGTTTCAGGAATTCAGTCGAATCCCTATAGTAAATTGTACTAGCAAACTCCATTTTTGAAGGATACATCATTTCAAACCTCGGAAATAGTTCATCATGCAATCATACTGAAACTGTTAACAATTGTTAAGAGATGCTGAAGTTTTGCATCCCTATATCAGATCATGATTACTGTCAAACTGTAAACAAAACCAGAATATAAATACTTTTCCTTTGATGATTAAGTCATTAAACCCTATATATAACAAGTTGGGGAATCCTCTTGGAACAAAGCAATGGAGTCTCCAACAGGATTTCCACTGAAGCATAGCCTAGGGTGGTCTTATCAGAGTCTCCCCAAACACCAATCAGTGAAACTGTGCAAGGCTCCATTTGTTAACCGTAACAGTATTTTTTCTAGAGGTTTGCCACCATTCAACAATTAATATATCAAACTATGTCTGTCAATCCTAACTTACCAAGTATTCCTCATGTATATAATACATAATATACATGAAGGTCTGTTGAACCTTAATGGGTGCATAAAAAAGTTCAGAATTTTACCTTCCACAGATGGGCTGCCACCACCTCAAAGGATGAACATGCACCAGTCCCATTCTTTGAGCAGGAGATTTTACTCTTCAAGCTCTCGATCATTGCACTGCTTACTCGAAATGTCTTCTGAACATAATTCTCCCAGTGAGTAGTGCACCCTACTTCAGAGAACCTGCACCCTCCAAGATTTTCTTCATGGTCTAGACTCGGGTCAGTAACTGCCTGCTTTATCAACTGGAGTAGATGTTCAATGGCTGCAACCCTTGTCACCAGACTGTAGTTATTACAAAATTTAGTAATTTGGTGTTGTGTTGGGCTGCGACCAACCAGCAATCTGCCTCTGTCATGGATAGGTTCATGAAGCTCTAAACTTCCATTTGATCTCTTAGCAGCCTTAGAAGCCCATGCACTGAGGAAATTGAAGGTTGATGGTCCGTCAAACAAAGAGTGGCTCGTCCCAACACCCACTGCATACCCTCCACATCCAAATTTTGTCACCTACATGACAAAGAAAAGAGAAAGATTATCTGAGACTGTTGATCAGTTCTTAATTGGTTAACCCCGACTAATCTAATTTCCTTTCTCTACTAACAACCTTGCAAATTCGAAAGAATTGCAATTGAGCTGTAATTTTCAGTTCATGTTCTCACCTGAGCAACAACCAGAGGCATCTCAGAGAAGCTGCCATTGAAAACAGGCTTGAACACCAGATTCTCGTAGAAGCTACCGTACTCTGAGAGATCTCCAAGCTCTGAGATCTTCACTTGTGTGACTGCCTCAACCAGAATTGCACCTGCATTGTTGCACAAGAGATCTAGTTTTCCATTAGTCTGGTTCAAGGTCAGCCTCCCTGCAGCTGGGTACCAGACTGACAAAGTCTCCTCCAGACCCAATTTCAGGCCACTGAAGAGCGACCCAACTGACATGTTTTGGTTAGCATGACATGGGTTGTAAAAGAAGACCAAGTACATGAGTGTTGGGCACTGCCTGTCAAGATTGGAAAGACTGAGTAGTTCTAGAGGTTGCAGAGATTTGGGGTGGACGGATACTGTCTTTGTTATGGAGACTTTCTGACAATTCTGCTTTTGGGTGGCCATGGGTTCTAACTCTCTTGATCACCTCTCTGTTCTCTCGGCCTGGTCTTCCTCGACAGAGAAGGATTATTGCAATATATAAAGAGAGAGCTTAGATTCCTAGGAAGCGACCTGTGTCTCCTTCTGCATTTCTTTATGACATGATCAAGAATGATTTGTTTTTGCTTCTTTTATATCAATATGTCTAGTGCCTTGCATGGTACTGTTTGTACTCGTGATAAGAAAATGAAAAAAAATAAACAAAAATAAAGCTCCAATTGCTCTTCACCGACTAGATTATCTGTCTCCCACTGAATGGAAGGGGGTTGACCAACTAGTCCAGGACTGTAGCCTGTAGGGCCTAGTGTGGGTCCCATTTGGCCATCCAACGACTGATAAACATGATCATTACCTAAAACCCAACTTTCGTCATCTGTTCATACAATGGTCCAAATCTGGTTGATTTTCTTTATTGTAATAATATTGCTGCTGCTGCAGCTGTTGTGGGGATTGTTGTTGTCTGAGTGTGAATCCAGAAAGTATCAATAAAAATTTGGGGTGGCAAGTGGCAACGAGTTGGGCAGGTGATGATCACAGCCGGGTCAAATTGAGAAACCCAACCCGAGCTCAATTCAATGGTCAGTGACTCGATGGTCGATCATCTGGGATGGGGAAACAAAACCCAGATAACCATATCCGGATTGGAACTGACCCAATTGAAATTCGGATCAGAACATGCCAGCAAAGAACCAGAAGGCTACTCAGATCTTGGTTAGTCGCTGCTTGTATGGTTCAGGTGTTCAAAGGTGAGAGCTTTAGAAGAAAATAAGCACACAGACACGTTACAAAAGCCATTGAGAAAGAAGTTCGATTTTTTTTTGGTTCTTTAAGAGAAAAGTAAGGTTGGTGGTGATTGAAGCATCAAGGACGGATGGGGGGTTGGAGTTTTGTTGGAATAACATAACAGGTTGTCATGTCTCATTGTCCTCCCACTGTAGATAGATAGAGAGAGATAGATATATATAGAGAGAGAGAATTTGGACATTGGTTTAGTGAAGGGAGAGAGGTTGAGAGGTGGGGTTGGGTATTGTTGGTTTGTAGGAGAGCATGCGTGCAACTAAAGCCCAACTCTTGTCTTACTGTCTCCTCTTTCCCAGCAATAGGCCCTTTCCCAGAGACTTCAAACACACTTTTTCCATTTCTTTAATCTTTCTTATTCTTCCTTTTCTTCCTCCCCTCTCCCATCCACCCTTTTCAGCTTTTCCCCAACATAATTCATATAAATCAAATCTTTCTCTGACAATGCTTAGCTCCTATATGCTATAGTGTGTGTGTTAAACAACTCTACAGGAATGTATTCTTCTTCATGTCTTCTAGTTAAAAGCTTTCTTGTAATCACAGAATATCAAGACCTGCATGCTTTGCACATTTAGTTTGCATGGATGGACTGCATGCACATATGCTGTATCATGCCTCCATGCAGCATGTGATGTACATATACCTGGGTATGCATGATGCATGCATGCATGCTCATGGCTGCATGTATGAACATATCATACAAATATATGTTTCCAAGAAGAATGAATCAGGGAATCAAAATGTGCTTGTGGACCTGCGGTTTGTTCCTTTTTCTTCACAGGAAAACAAAAGAAAAGATATAAAAAGTGTTCAAACTGGAAACTTGTGCCTAACAAACAGAGTTAAAAGATTTTTAATGAAGAAAAACAAATAGAAGTTTACTGAACTCCATCGAATCTTTAAAGATAAGACAGGAGGTCATTACAAGTAACACAAAAAGAAGTGACTTCTGGCTCGAAACCAGGTGTCTAGTTTTGCTGTGATGATTAAGTTCATGATTTGACTAACTTTGGATCACTACCATTTATTAATAACTTAAAATTCATTTCTTAGTGTTTTGGCCTCATTTCGTGTGCTCTCAGTACTGTAATTAGTACTAATTACTCGTTAATTTGTAAGCTATATTATAGACTGGACCAACTTTGTAATAGACCAGATCGACCCTCTAACCCATATCAGGTCAGACCAACTCAAGTCAGGGACTCAGGCCGAATTTGAGAGTGTTTGAAAATAGATGTTTATTTGAATAAGTATTTATGGAATACATTTATTTAAAAGAAAGATGCCCAAATATTTGAGCTTATTTTTAGTGCTTATTGGATTTCTGGCCTGTCTTACCCAACAGGTCATTTTGAAAATACTTATATTACCCCCTGTTTGAAATAAGTATTTTTTTCATCAAACGGCTTATAATCACTTATTAGAATAGACACTTATTTTTCAAATAAACACTCCTAAACTCTACTTGTTAGTGTCTATGCAAATTTGGCATTGGGTTTAATTTCCTTGAGTCGGGTCTGTTCTGGTCCTATTAAAGTATTAATAGGGTTGATCGTTTCCGGTCTTATTATAATCAGGACTAAAATATAACCCTAGAATTAGGTCCTAGATAGATAATAGGGTTGATCATTTCTGGTCTGTTGGTTGATCCAAACCATTGACAGCCCTATTAAAATAACTTGGGCATGGTAGTTGAACATTTTTCTTGATAAAAACAACAAGAATAAATTATATATGTTCCAACTTGCAAAATTTTATAATTCAAGCATTATTTTTTATATTATAATTGGGAGGTTTTAAAACATCCCAAATAAATAAATTAATAAATAGACAGATATACCACGAAAGAACTTTCTTTATAGAATAATGCTTCATCCTTTGTTTACTCCTCCCAAGACCCTACCTGGGACCAACATTGAATAATGTTTTTTTTTTTTTTTTCTATAGGTTACTAGGAATGCCATCTTAACCTACAATATAGAAGATGCTTGGAAGATGGCTTGTGATGGAAACCAGTATTGAATTTAAGGTTCAGTTTGGAAAGAGTACAAATACAAATATGTAGAGTGCAAAATCTTGTATTTTGTATTATTTTGTATGTATATTTGTACTGTACACATTTGTACTTGTACTCGTTCCAAATTGAACCTAAGGCTGTGTTTGGTTAAAGTGCAATTTTATTTGCATTAATACAAACACATGGAAGTGTAAATGAAAAAAAATGCAAATTCTTATTTAATTTTATTTTAGGTTTTACTTTATTCTGCTTTATGTCTTAATTTACTTCATTTGTACTGCAATCAAACAAAATAAACTAAAATTTGAAACAAAAATGAATCAGAATATACACTCAAATCACTTGCACTGTCATAGTTTTGCATCAGTGCAAATTTATTTGCATTGCAACCAAACACAGCCTAAGGATTTTTGGGGCCGGGCTATTCCACTCTAGTGGTCAAAAGGGAGAAAAATAAAACCTTTAATTGATTCTTATAATATTGTGGTTTCAATTTACCCCATTTTTTCTTTTGAGTAGACTGTTCTATTTTCACAAAACTAACTAAATCAATAACATAGGTCACTGTCTTTCTTAATTATATACTTTTTTTCCTACTTTGTTTTTCTTTGTAAGTGTTCTTGTGTGAGGATGGTAGCAGGTTGTTGTGGTTTTTATTCACAGACTTCAATCTGTTTAACATCTAAGCCCCCACCTTGAATCCAACCCAATGTGTCTATTTCCCATGAGGCCACTTGTTGAATCGTTGAATCATGTGCTGTAACTAAGCATAAAGCAGGCTAGAATAATTCTAAGTTGTCAAAGATTCATTTTAGAGAAAGAAACTCAAAACGCAATTTGAAACGTTCTAGGATAAATCATCATCGCAATTGTAGTATTTCTTTGTCAAATAATCAGGAATAATAATTCCCAAATATGGAATTCTCTTTCTTTCTTTTCTGTTCTTCCCTTGTCTTTTTATGCCAACTCTTTTCATACGAAGAATCAGAATCATGTTCTTTCTTTGTCTCGTACAAATTTGATAAACTATTGGGCTAATGGGAAACCTTTCACACGTCTGAGAAGAATTTTTATGGAACAGGAGTAATAGATCTTGTGTTTAGCTTGCAGAACAGAAAACTAGAAATGGTTGGCACTCCCTACCTTAGCAACATCTATTACCATGCAAGAGCTTGATCTAACACTCCTGACCTTAACAAAATAAAGAAATAATCATTTAACTAAGATTTAAACACAAGACTGAATTCCATTTTTAACACCCAAAAAAAGAAGTTTAAATATCGATATATCCAGATATGCAGACATATAGGGTTTTGATCAACACTCTTCCCATCCTATTTTTAACTTTTTTCAAAATTTTACAGAGGGTGGTGGTCTTATGAAGGCCTACCCGTGGTTATATTAAAATATTAAAATACTTAATATTTCACTTATCAGGGAGGGGTCGATATGATGATACGCTAACAGAATTTTTATCTTTGGTTCAAACGGTAAAATAATTTCATTTTTGGTTAGTTCTAAATTATGTATTTCATTTTCATTATCAATAAAAATAATTCTTGTTTATTACACTTATTTTTTAATTTGATTAACAAAAATATCATAAATGTGTCTAGTTTTTTCTACATTTTTGTAATTTTTTATCTTTATTTCTATTTTAAAATTTTCATTACCCAACTATGACCTCAAAGGTTGATCAATTTGATTCAGATGGCTGAATTGCTTAGTTACCATTTAGATAAAGAATGGTTTTGTTTTGAATCAGTTTTAAAATATATGTCTTTATATTGTTAAAAATATTGGCATATAGATCTAATTAGTAGCATTTATTAGTGAAAAATAACTTAAATATAGGATTTAATAAGAGAAAATTGGAGTTAATACCTTAAGTATAAGACTATAATGAGAGTGGATTAAATGAGGTGAAAATTAATAATTGAAATTATATTTTCATCCCTTACAATTAGAGATATACTAAATAAACAAATATGGGCACTTTATTAGTCATTCAAGCTAACATTAAAGTTGTAATAAAATGACTTTTATACTCGTTTTTCAAATAAATAAGTAGAGTATAATTTTAGTCCAAAAAAAAAACTTTCACTTTACATCCACACTTTATATAGTATAGATATAGATTATATTAATAATAAATAATATTTTGATATCTTTTATTAACTAATTATAA